CAGAGTGAGGGCGGATGCTGCCCGGGGGTGCCTGCCTGTGTGCCTGCCCCTGAGGCCTGTGGATGAAGGTAGACTAGCAGGAAGAGAAGGGGCTGTGGAGGAAGGAGTGGACTGCATTCTGGGCAGGCGCCCTGGGCTGGCGTCCTGGCCCCCAGCGTGTGCCCAGGAGCAGGGACTTGCGATCCCAGGATTCGGGATCTACCCAGCACTAGAGAACCGTTTCAGTCAGGCAGAGCATGCGTGGGGTTTAGTGCAGAGGCTTCCCTGCAGAGGGGCTCCTCACGGGGCCCACAGGCCAGCTGTCAGCTGCTGTACAGCTCGCCTGTAACTCGCCCCCACCAGGCCCTCTCCCTTCCTCAGGTCCGGTGACCCCTTCCCACCCCACCCTGCCTGGAGGTCTGGCACCCTGGTGTTCTAGAACACCTGAAAGGAGTGAGCTGTGAGGTCTCTGCTTTTGCCTGTCCTTGTTCCTGGCCTGTCTGCTGTCATGCCTTCACTCCCTGAGGACTGTTGGCTGTCACATGGGCCCTTATGCCCTGTCCCTCCAGAACTGCCTCTGAGCTCCAGGCTGGCCGCAGGTCAGCACAGCTGTGCTTACGAGCGCCTGCTCCCCCTGTGGCCTGCAGCCCTTTCCTTTCCCTCCCCACCCTGCCCACGGGCTGGCCTTTCTCCTCACACGGTCGTCTCATGCCTTCACTCCCTGAGGACTGTTGGCTGTCACATGGGCCCTTATGCCCTGTCCCTCCAGAACTGCCTCTGAGCTCCAGGCTGGCCGCAGGTCAGCACAGCTGTGCTTACGAGCGCCTGCTCCCCCTGTGGCCTGCAGCCCTTTCCTTTCCCTCCCCACCCTGCCCACGGGCTGGCCTTTCTCCTCACACGGTCGTCACAGCCCTTTTCCTTGTTGCCTGGCTCGTACATGGCACCTGGCTGGGCCCTCGGTGCTCAGAGGAGGAGGGTCCACCGTAACTTACCCAGTGGGGCCTCACTTCTCACAGGGTCAGCTCACACCTGGGGCTTTACCTTTCCCTAGAGCCCTCCCCGCTGGTCTGTTCCGGTCCTGTGTGCCCTTCCTTGGGTGCTCTGTGCAGGCCCCTGCAGTGTCCGGTGGGCTGTGGCTTTGGCCTAACCCCCGGCTCGTCAGGGACTTGTCCCCTAGTCCTCGAGCACATAGCAGCTGCCAGGACTGTGTCCCCATCTGCTCACTGCACACAGATGTCCTCACCCCGCACCCCAAGAAGGCGCTCAGCTGTGTGCACCGCCGGGCTGGACCACGGGATGCTCACCTCGCTGATGCGCACTAGGAATTTGGGTTTTGCCCTCCGGAGTGGCCTTCACCTGGAGAAGTGCTCTCATCTCAGATCTCCAGTTGTTACCTCTGCCCCCCAAGTCTCTGCCTGGCCTCGTCTCCCGTCCTGGGCCTCCACACTCTGCAGCCCCTCCCGCCACTTTGGGTTGTCAGGAAAGTCATGGCATTTTTCTATGCAAAATCGCATCAGGATTTTCCTGAGAACCTAGCAGTTTCCTCCCCACGCTCCACCCTCCTCATTGCACTAAGAGTCCTCTGTGGAGGAAGAGTGGCACCCTGCCGCCAGGATAGACCTGGTTCCTGGGAGCCCCTGTCCTCCCACAGGGCACTGCCCCGACTCTGGAAACCACAGAGGATCTTGGGGCCCAAGTATACACCGGCAGGCTCTGCCCCACAAGTCAAGGACAGCATTTCAACAATAAAAGTCTGGAACCAAGAGCTTCATGAAGTCACCACGGTCTACTGTCGTTTCCTTGGGCTTCGAGGGAGTTCTGAAGCTGGCCCTGATCCATAGACCTTCCTCACCCGCTCCTGTGTCCCTGTCCCCCACAGCCAGGGCTGGCCTCGGGTGACCACAGACTCCTTCCACTGCTTTACAGTCTCCGCCGGTGCCTGCCGCTCAGATGATGGCGAGAATGTTCTTTTAAGGCTTAGATAAATGAAGGGAGGTGCTAGGAAGGTAGCCTGGCATGGTTGGAGTGGAGGGTGGGCTGCTGGACTGCGCCTGGCTCAGGTGCAGGTGGGCCCACGGGTGTCTGACAGTGGCCCATGGCCACTGCCCCGCTGAGGTGAGACCTCTTCCTTACCCGACCTGGGCTCCTGAGCAGCCTCTCAGTCCCCGGTTCGGGCCCGGCTGCGTTGCCTTTGCATGACTGTCATCTGAAACGTTACCAGAGCTCCTCAGATGTCCCGAGAGAGCAGGAGTTAATCTCATGGCATGGAGGTCACTGTTGGAGACCGGCACGGCAGGGCAGCTGTCCAGCTCAGGCTGAGTCCTCAGCGGGGAGGTGGGCTGGGCTGTGTGTGAAGGCTGTCATCTAAAACGTTACCAGAGCTCCTCATGTCCTGAGAGAGCAGGAGTTAATCTCATGGCATGGAGGTCACTGTTGGAGACCGGCACGGCAGGGCGGCTGTCCAGCTCAGGCTGAGTCCTCAGCGGGGAGGTGGGCTGGGCTGTGTGTGAAGGTGGCTTGCAGCTCCTGTGAGGGCTGGAGCGAGCTGAAGGCCTGGCTGGCCGACTGCCTGGGATGCGGCCTTGCCATGCCTTGTGCTTCCTCACGACACGCCCCTGGTGCCGGAGGAGAGCTCCAAGCTGTTGCCTTTGTAGGCTGTGTGCTTGGCCTCAAGTCAGCATCGCTTCTGTGGTACCCCGATTCCTTGGGGCAATCACAGGCTCCAGACCAGGTTTAAGGGACACACCTTGTCCCAGAAGAAGTCACCTGGGATGGGACGAGCAGGGCTCTGGCTGGCTGGAGTTCAAGGCAGAAAACACGGACAGGTGTGGGGTGGGGCACCCAAGGCTCTGGGGCCTTCCACCTTCCCATGCAGACCCCAGGTCCTGGAAGCCAGGGCGGGACCCCATGGGGACAGTGTAGCCAGCCCTTAGAAGCCCCTCCTTCAAAAAGTTTGATCCTTCCCCCAGACAAATCCCTACTAATGGAATCTGTGATTTATTACATAATCTGAGCACAGCAGAGAACAAGATAGCATATGGGAAGGCAGCATACAAAAAATAACCAGTCACAATTGTCCGAAGGAGCATTCCCTGCCCCGAGGGCCACGCCAGCCACAGCCTGACAGCCCAGCGATCCCGCAAGGAAACACGGTGTGCAGAGGTGGTAGGTAGCCGCGCAGGGTGGCGGTGTGGCCGGGCTATTCGATGTCCACCACCAGGGGTGTCATGTAGTCGGAGTGCTTGATGCCAAAGGTGACCACGGGAGCGCAGGGCTTGGTCAGTGTCACCTGGAAGAGGAGGGGCTGTGAGGAGAGCTGGCGCCCTCACCCTGCAGGCCCTGCCCTGGGTGGCGCCGGGCTGCTGTCCCTCTTGAACCCAGAGCCAGCGTGGACAGGCCTAAAGGCCACGATGGTGGCTTTGAACATAGCGCAGTCAGCCACAGCGACTGCCAGTGTCGGGCACAGCTGGTTGGCTGAGGACCAGGGCAGACTCTGGCTCCGTGTCCCTGAAGGGTTGCCTTTGGGGCCGAGAATACATGGCCACAGAGACCCCTGTGGGATGCAGGCCCTTCTCATGCCCTCCTGGCTATGCCCCCCACTGCCTCTGGGCTGTGCCCTTCCTGCACCTTCTCAGGGCTGTGGGCTCCTGGTCCTGGCTTGAGGGTTTTGTCCCCTGGAGGCTCTACTCGTGCAGCCATGGTGTACTGTGGGGCCTTGAACTTGGTCACCTGCACGTCAGTCTGGCGGTAGGCTGCAGGACCTGGGGTCTGGGAGGCGAAAGAGGCTCAGACAGGCTCGGCCAGCCCAGGGCGGGAGGCCCCAAGGGCAGGGGAGCAGCGCGAGTGGTGGGTGCCAGTCCCCATCCCCAGGGTCAGCTCCAAGCTGGCCCCTGTGCCTTACCAGCCCCACTGGAGATAACACCCCATACTGTGGGACGCCAGCTTGGTGTGAGGTGTCAGTCCCTGGATTTCGGCCTCACTGTGGCAGTGACATCCCAGTGTGTGCCAGTCTGCGTGTGTGTGGGACGTTGTCCTGGTGGACACAGGAGCTGCCGGGGCTGCGATGCTGCTCCCGCTCAGGCCCCACCAGCTCCCGCACGCACGGCCAGGGCCTTTGCACTGGCTGTTTCCGCAGCTGGAAACCCTCTCCCCGGATAGCTCAGGGCTTCTCCACTCCTCTTCCGTCCATGCCACCCTGTCCTGCCACACTGGACTATGGCCCCAGCACATGGCTGGCACTGGGAGAGGAAGGGCTGAGGGGGCCGAGGGGCTCTGGCAGGGCAGAGCTGGGCTGTGGTGCTGGGTCCCGGAGGGAAGGCGTGGCTGACGGGTGGCCGAGCTCTGTCCTTGGCAGGGGGCACTTGCCTTGTGCAGGTCGTCGCTGAAGCCGCCTAGCTTGCTCCGGCCCTTGATGGAGTAGGAGGGCTGGGAGACCTTGCCCACTGTGTGGGGGCCCATCACCACGGGCAGCATGTACGCAGCAGGGCCTGCAGGGTGGACGCCGGGCCTCAGGGGAGAGCAGGGCCCAACCCGCTTCTTCCCTGGAGCTCCCTCTGTCCTGCAATACCAGCCACTGGGCTGCCCCACCCTGAGTGCAGTGGGCCGGGGAACGCC